TCGGGAGTGGTTGATGAAAAGCGAAAAGAAAGGAATATATTGGGCACTGTAAACGCAATCAAACACGTTCCATTATGATCCAAATAAAGTTTAAAGTTTCAATTGAAAATTCCCTGTTAGCTTGTCGGTGAACACTGACTCGCATCGAGAGCAACGAGCTCTGTTCGGTAGTGATACAACCAGTCGAAAGTAGAATGGGATTTGAACCTGCCCCCAAAGCGGGGAAAAGCAACACAGAAGAAACGAGAAAAAAAAAACCTTTTCAATGCTGCTCCTGTATTCTTCCGATTCCTCTAAGAAAGATATACCATGAAATTGCAAGCTCTGTTTCGGAATTTTGGTGAAAAGTTGAGAAAGTGTCGAAAATGTCCTGTTAGTCGAAGGAGAGTGGGTAGCTGAAACACTTTTCTGCATGGAATTTGCTTGTTGCGATCATTAATAGTTTTATTTTGATACAGGGAGTTCGAAAAGTACTGCAACCAATGGCCGTGTTAAAAATTTTTTTTTTCTTTTTAGGTGAATAATGGCTGAAACGAGATATTCACTTGAAGAAAGAATCTTCTTAGTGTCTAGTTACATTCAACGTAAGAGTTATACTGCAACCCAACATGGATTTGATGAAAGGTATGGAGAAGAAACCCGCGGATCAGTGCTGCACGATCAATTGACCCAACAGTGCTGAATGTTCTGTTGCAATTGTTCAAGACTGTGATTTGCATGCACCGAATTTTCAAAAAATGCACAGAGGAAAAAGTCTGGTGAACTTAGGAATGAGATTCGAGGTGGCCATAATCCTGCTGAAATAAGGCATCCAGAGAATTTTGATTCCAGGTATGCCATTGTTGCCCTAGCTGTGTGTGCTGTGGCGTTATCCTATGAAACCAGGTAAGCTCGCGTTTGCCATCATTCAGTGTAGCAAAAAATTTCTCAACTATGCCGATGTAACGTTCCGAGGTCGATGTTTCACTACAGAATGTGATGAAAATCCATTTCCTTGATATTGCGCACCGTTTGTTTTTCACATTACCAGTTTCCCACATTTTATCGTATTGGCGCTTGATGGTCGAATTATGCGGAAATGTATTTTTCTATGAACCATTCTTCAAATTTAGGTTTGGTTGCAGTATAATTCTTACTTCGAATGTAACCAAACACTAAGGAGATTCTTTATTCAAGTGAATATTTCGTTTCAGCCATTGTCCACCTGAAAGCCAAAAAATATATATATTTACACGGCCTCGGGTTACGGTACTTTTCGAACACCCTGTATGTTTTGATAGTGTGCTGCGAGAACACGAATAAGCATCGAGCTTCAGATTTCGAAGGACATCACCATCTCTAATTTCGAGATATCGTATAGCCAACTGATATTTGATATCGCGATGGTATATGAGTCACGCGATATTTATTCTGAGGATCGGAAATCATTCCCAGACGAAAAAATATTATGCCTGCCCTTCCAGGAATACATCCAGCATCTCAATTGTCATGCCATGCATGGTATCCCGGTAGTAGAATGGGGATTCTAATCTCATTTATCGAAGTCACGCGTATCGTACCTGGTTTCAACATCCAAATCTGTCATAAAACCAAAACACTGTCACATGTATGACTCAAGAGAAGGATAGGAATTCAGATTAGATAGGATTTGAAAGGCAATCCTGTCTACCAATTGAAAACGACAGAATGTATCTAATCTCCCATTAAATGCTCTATAGAAAAATAAGCTCTCACACTCTCACTAAGGCTTCAAATTCTTTTGTTGCTGCACCAACAGGATTGTTGGAATTTTATTATTTATCATAATAACATATAAAATAGGTTTTTCCCTTACAAGTACGAAGCGCACCTCGTACATGTTATGGAAACGCAGTTAACTAGAAACACTTCAGGTTCCTTCGTTGACCTTTGGTACAAACTTGAGAGTATCTCACAGGACCACGATCCCCTCACTTAGCTCCAGAAACTCCGACCCGGCCTGATAGCGTGAGAAAACATGGCGTGGAACTCGTGGGGGAAATCGGTACGGGCTCTTAAGGGGACACGAGGGACTAGGTGAAGGTCGACAGCTCTCCTCCCTCCTCCTCCCTCTCCGTGAGATATCAGATCCAATAGCTAGTGCAGAAGAATGCCTGTTCGTCAGTTTGACCAAGGAGAGAGATTAGAAACGTGCTATAGCATGGTGGCTTGTCTCTTATGCTTCACTTTCCTCTTAATTTACGATTCTGCCGAGTTCGCTTCCATATCCAGGCATGGACGTGCTACTGCTACTCTTTCTGATGTAAGATTTCTGCTTTTGTAGTTGTGGTAATAGTATAGTACACTTCCACTTAAGGAACAGTCAACACAGTCTATTGGGACATTTATTGCGCAAAAAAAAACACAATTAAGAGCTCAGAAATATCAAAAACACTGAACAAATTTTTTCAAGTCCAGGATGGTTCATCACATTGGGTACTGCCGTCTGATCTCATCGAGGATATCCCAGAACGGAGTCTCGCTGTGAAGCCCCTTACACCAAGTTTTGACGCAATAAATGTGGGCCTAAGTGGACGGTCTTGACCAAGTGGACACGTACTATATCGATGGTGCCGAGGCGTAATCAGGGAGGGGGCGGGAGGCGTTGTTTTGGGGCTTTGCCCCTGACAACGCCCCCCCACCCCACCCCTCCCGTCCTGTGTATGCCTCCGAGAGATGGTTGTGCCTAAATCGACACAGTTGACTGTATTCCTGAAGTGGACGCGTACTGTACTATTACAGTTTCTTTTTTTTGTTATATCTATCTATGTATATATATTTTAAATAATTTTTCCACGCTCCAATTTTTGATAACTCGTCGTTTCTTCTAGTCTTCGTCCTCACTTATTCACGTTATATGCAAGTACTGGGTGCTGCACATAGGTAGCCCCCCCTCCCTAGATACATAATGGGAAAAAGCATTCATTTTCAAATCTAAACACGTGCTATTCTATCAATTTGTTAATTTCTATTAATTAACCCCAGCATCGTCTCTGACAATTTTAAGACAAGCGGGGTAAGATGAAAAGAGACTCTTAAAGAATTCCGTGTCATCTTCCATGTCCTTCAACACTCTGGTGATGTTGCTTTGCAAGGCTTCCCAGGAGCATCCATGCTGCTTGCCCTCCATATGCATGAGAGCCTCAATTCAATCTTTCAGGATAGCCCAAATGTTCTCAGCCATATTCAGATCATAAGAGTTTCCAGGACGTTCCGCATTTCCAAAGAAATCAATCCTTGAGTCTTTCAGCATTTGCTGTGTGGTCAAAGCTTTGAAAAATAGGGCTTCATCATGCACAAGCTGAACGTTTAGGGTGGATTTTTAAACAGAGAACTATCCGATAATGGTGCTTTATTTCCAGGAAATAAAGAAATCTCTGTTCAAAAAGCCACCCTTATCTTTTCGAACCCCATAATCAGGCAACAAATTCAGCTCCAGCGTCATGAGCGTCTCGAAACGTAACAGCACAGATGCGATCATTGAATTTAAGTTCTTCACTATCATGTGATATCAGAACAACAAAATGGGGTTGAATAGAAACAAAATTGAACCAGGATTCCAAATATATTTTAAAAATTGTATAGCTCCTATAGTTTAGGCTGCGGAAGGGGGGAAGGGGGGTATCCGTGTGCAACACCCGGTAGTTCTTACATATACACCGGACAAAGTAGGTATTTGCCCTCCCGCAGGAGACCAGGCACGCCTTTCGTATATTACGCTTTTCAACATTTACGAATTGAGAAAACTAGTCACGTAATTCACCGTGGAAAGTAGAAGGATCCTCCCACGGACCTCCGGACCGGAATTCCCTTGTTTATTCCAGGGCAAGGTTATGTCTTCAGAGAATTGTTTTGAGGTATTCAATTGTCTTCCTATAAGATCTATGTGAGAAACCATAGGGAACTGTGTCAAAGGGACAGGGGACTAATTTCAGTCGAATCCGGGAAGTGCCTCTTTACTACGACCATTTTGGCTCCATCTCACGCCGGTTTTCGGAACCTTCTCAGTCACGTTGGCTCATCTTTGGCGAATGATTTGCCAATCATTTGCCGAAAATGAGCCAACTTCCCCATCTATGACCTGACGATAAACCAAGAAAAATTTTTGACTGGGCCTGGCTGCAGACTTGGAACCAGGACCAAAGCACCTGGAGGCGGCAAGTGGTTTTGGCTCCATGAAATTCTTCTCGAAAGGAAATTTCAGTAAGGAAAGTATATGCTTGTATGCATATGGTTAAACTAGAAAGTTAAAATCCCTGCAAACCAAAGATGAATGGCGTGGAATCTCTCCCTCTAAAACGAAGAAAAGAGGCGTCGAGGCGTAATAATATTCATTATCAGAAGATAGTTTTATTCGGTGCTTTTTTCCCACGGAGAAGGTTGTTATGTACAGTATCTGAACGCAGCAGCCTTACATAACAGACGTTTTCTTACTCATAATCAGGGCCGGATTAAGGGGGGGGGGGGGGCAAAGGGGGCAATTTGCCCCAGGCCCCACTCTTCCAGGGGGGTCCCCGAAGGAAATTAAAAAGGTGGATTTTTGAGAAAGGGTTAAATGTCGCCCAGGTCCCGCGACGAAAGCGCCGCTGTCCAGGTCGGGAGGATTCCTCCATAGAAAAACCCGGTCTCCAGGTTAAAGGTGGTACGAATTCATTTGCAAAAACACTGTAATATTAGCTTACGATATTAGTCAATGTTAGTAAACCTGTGGAGCTCTGGGATTAATTAGGCTCAAGTTGGATCAATCGTTGATTTGGGTTGCTCTGGGCCACTTCAGGTCACTTTGGACCTCTTAAGACCTGATTTTGTGATTAAGATAACTAAGACATTATCTTATCAATACAGGTTGAGATGTTGCTTCCAAAGAGTCCTGGCAGATAATGATCCCCGTGCTTTCCCCCTGTAATTCCCCTGTAACTTCTCACCTTTCTCACCCCATGCATGTGATTCCACATTTAAAAAATCTCACCGTGCATTGCAAGATGGATCCGTTCGACGGGGCTGGAATCCGACAGAGTAGACGGAATGAGAAAGAAGACCGGAGTAAAGAGCCAGAGTCCGACCTCCCAAGGGAGCTGGAACCGAATCTAATCGTGGAATCCGCGATAAATCTCACTTTCGTCATCTTCGATCAGATCGACAACCTCGCCCCCCTCATGACCATCGAGTGGCCCATCGTGGAAACGTCAGTTCTATTTTTCGATCTGTCTATTGTAGCCGAGGCTGATTTGGAACGTTTATCTTTTTTGTCTGCTTTGCAGCACAATGAGCATTCCTTACACCGATCTCCCGTTGAGAACAGGCATCAGATTGACCGAGGGCACCGTGCACGGCTTGAACAACGTGATTCGCCGAGTAAGTCCAACTCAGCGTCAGACCAGCCAGTCGAAGGGTGACCTTCACTTTGAGCTTGCATGCCCTCCCAGGGAGAAGCAACGATAAGGAGAGAAGGAAGAACCTTCGTTGTTAATTCTCGTCTCTTGCTTAAGTCCGCACAATTCAAGTACACTCTGGAAATGCAAACTCTGTTCCTGAATTTCCGCGAGAAGTTGTTGACAAACCTGTTCGACGTCCTCGTTGAATTAGAGGTATCGATCATTCTGTCGCGTTGATTATATGCGGTGTGATCAGGGAGTAACTTTCTTTGAATCGTTCCCGTCGTGCGGTGAAGGTCCGAGCGAACATCGACTTCCCGTACGCGGCGAGCCTGGCGATCTCAAAATTGGAGATCCTGAATATCGGCGATATGAATTTTCACCTGGGAGTCGACGGGGCGGGCATCTTCAGCAGATTCTTGGAGACGGTGAGACTTCCTCTACGTCGCATATTCACGGGTTCCATTGGTTCCGTTGGCTCAATCTGGGTTCTACTTCATATGGCGGTTGGTGAGCTGCACAAAGATATGCCTATTGTCAAATGTGCAAATGACTTCATGAGATTTTATATAAAACCAATGTAGTTTACAAATTTGGAAAATTAGGAAATTTTTGGAAATGGTCATTCAATTTGATCATTTATGTCTACGAAGGCGCGTAACGCCTCAGAGACGCATGGGTTGTCGGCTGATATAGCCAATATTAAGAGGGAAAACGATTTTAAATCTAGCATTTCTAATACTAGTACCGAGATGACGTTAAGCTATACAATTGTGTCGCTACTTGTATCTGTCGCTACTCGTGACTTGTATTTGCAGGTGATGACGTACGCACGCGCTCTCTTCCCGGGATCCGTACATGAATTCCTGGAGCAGATTGGGCAGGATGCCCTCGAAAGGGGAACCGCGAAAGGAGTCCAGATCCTAAATGAATCTTCCCGTTGATCTTTCTGCACAGATCATCCCTCTCATATGTGATGTTTTAACTCCGTCTTTCGTGATAAATTCAGCTTTACGATATACGACCGACGGTTCCATCTGCATTCATCGATGCCCATTTTAAGCGAACATGTAGAAGCCGGCCCCAAAATTTCTCAAAGAACTCCGCATAAGAAGAGTACGAAAAAGGTAGGGCTGTCAATTGATTAAAAAGTTTAGTCGATTACTCGTGAGCCATTTAATCGACCAATCGTATTTTAATCGATTCCTTAGTTCCTCCTCGAATCATATCCTAGGCATTAGGTATGATTCTTCTTGTGTCATGTCCAACACCTAGGCGAGCCTCAGGAAGTGACTCAAGGCGATGCAGTCGCTAACATAGCAGTTACCATCCGTACATACTCTAGTTCAACCTACATGTGACACATTCCAATCGGAGAGAAAATAATTACAACGTAGCCAAATGAATGTTGACACATGAGCAAAGAAGCTCACTGAAGCCCTTTGCAATTTAGCCAACCCATGCCGGAAAGATGCAAAAAATGTAACCTAAATGATTGGAGGTATACAGTGACAGTGGCGTGCCCAAGGGGGGGGTTTTAGGAGTCATAACCCCCCCCCCTTGGGGTCAATTTTACACGTTCGATTCTCACAAATTTTTTATTTTGGCCAAAAATGCAGGGTGGGTTTTTTTTTATCAGTTTTTAACCCCCCCCCTCATTAGGGTGGGTAATCAGTGTTTCAAATGACGAACATTCCCCCACATTCGGATTTCCTGGGCACGCCACTGTACAGTGACACTTCGTTACGCGTAGATTTAGAGATTCGTCATCGATTCACGAGCAACACAGAAGATAAGAAAAAAAAAAAAAAAAACAAAACAAGGAGTAGTCTGAGTTTCACACTTTTATTTCCTCTTTTCTCGCCTGCTCCCGGCTTTCCCCCTCTCCCGGTTACTTCCCGGGGGCTCCCACAGACCTTCGCCGACGCCCTTAAACGTACGCCTCCCACTCCCGTCTTTTTATTATCCTCTTTCCTGCCTCTCCTGTTCCACGTCCTTGTCTAAATCCTCAATGCCTGCTGCGCCTTCCCTTGCAGCTCCTTCATTACGTTGTTGTTCTCCCCATTCGCATCCAGTAACTTTTCGGTCGCTCTAGCCCGCTGCTACCACGTACCTTTGCCTGACGCGCGAGGTCTGCAAGGCTATATGGGATACGTACCAGTACGCTTGGGGATGCGAATGGGTTAGGAAGCTGTTGTTTTGCAAAACTATGGACTACACAGTCAAATTATAAGGGGAGAAAGAGGGATTCGGGGAAGTTTTGGGGGTCGATTAAAATTCTATTAATCTTTTACTGTTTTTTAAAATCGCGATTAATACTTCACTCGCTTAATCGGTCTATTAATCTAATCGAATTGACAGCCCAAAAAAGGAATAACGTCTCGCTTTGGACAGGTGTTCTAGTTAATACCCGCCATGAACGCCTGTAAGCCCTGCTCTACCTTCTTTGATTTTCCTTCCCCATGCAGATATATTGGAGCAGAGGTGGGACGAAATCTGTGCTCATACTCATTGGAGACTTACACCTGAATGCTGAAATGCTGAAATCTTTTAGGCGAGATAAAGGTGGCTTTAACTCAAAGAGCTCTTTTTCTCCCATTGGAGTCCATAGATTCTTAAAGGACTGTTAGTAAAGGTCTCCTTTAACGAGACAGCCCCCCCACCTCCTCCCCTCCTCCATCTGAGACGGTTAAGTGCAGAGAGAGCTCATTTCACTTCGTGACTTGTTTGGAGAAATGTTGCTTCGTTTCGAGAGTTCAAACCCCTTGGACATCCAGATACTTGTACGATATCGTTTATGCATTTCCGGAAACGAGAGCAATGAGAATGAAAAGTTCATCGCTTTTACTTTTGTCGCTTCTTTTAACAGCAGTAGTTCCCCATCAATTCAACATTGACAAGAGGAAATTGTGGCTCGCAGGACCTTTCCGGTTTCCTTACTTAACCTTACCCTTCCGTTGGTTATTCCAAATGTCCTTTCTCGAGCTTGTCGGGGAAGGAGAGCAAAAAACCCGAACGCTATGAGGGTTGTTGGTATGCTCAGCATGGACTAGGTGAAGGCTGACGACTCCCGCCCCCCCCCCTCTCCTCCCCTCCCCCTCTTCCTGATACAATATATCAGTCTCTTCCGTCCCAAAGAAGCCTCATCGCTGTAATCCGGAAGAAAGATTCGGAAGACTCAAGATGGTGACTCGCCTCTTCTGCTTCGCGTTCCTCTTCGTTTCCGATTCCGCCCGGTCTGCTTCTACATTAAGACTGAGACCTGCTCCCTCCTCACTCACCAAAGTAAGAATAGTTTTTCTTCTCACCGTTATTTCCGGATCGATCCTTGACCCCTTGATCATGTTTAATAGTAGTTCATCCTAAAATTGAATAGAGAGATGGGTACATGGTTCAAAAAGTTTCGAGATTGGATCCGAGATCTCCTTTTTCTTTAATGGAAGGAGTAATTTCTCATATGTTGTATTGTACGTTGATTTTGATGATCCCCCTAACGTTTGGTCCTCCCCCCCTCCCCCCGTCCCTAGATTAAGGTCTCCTTTTCTGTGAAACTGTTTTCGCCTCTTAAATGCCTTCGAGGCTCCGAGATTGTGGCACATTCGTTCATTTTGGAAGGTACTCAGAATTTTTTAAACGGTCGAAATTTCCCAATTACACATTCGCCAAATGATTAATTTTGAACAATTTTGTTCAAAATTAGCAAGTTTAGTTCTTGGTTCAGCTTATTTGAAAAATCAAATGAAAACCGGTAAGCAACAAATTTCGCCCATGCACCCCAATACCCAATACAAGATTCTCTCAAGAAGTGACATCTGTAAATCAAAGAATGAAAGCGTCGCAGAACCAGTTCTAAAACTTATTCACAGGTTCTTTCGTCATTAACGTCATTTTTCTATATATTGCACTTCTGGACAGAGGCGGATACAGAGGGGGGGGACAGCCCCCCCCCAATGACCAGGTTAGCATTTTACTCAAAATAGCATCTGTATTATATTTTATTGGAGCTTATGATATAGATACTTAAGTTCTTACCCCAGACGAAAAAGGCAAAAGGCAAAAGGACAAGGCATGGTGGTAGGCGGGGGGAGGGAGGGAGGGGGGGTAGGAATTTGAAAGCCGCCCCCCTATGAAAAATTTCTGTATCCGCCACTGCTTCTGGATGAACCCTCACGTACACGTTCGAAAATAGGAGACATTTTTCCAATTCCGTTCAACAATGCAGACGGACATTTATTTCATAACGCCTTACATACATCAGAAGACGTTCACGCTTCGAGTACCTTAATAGGGACTCGAATTTGCACTTAATAGGTACCGAGTATCAATCAAATGAATATGAGGTCCAATTTTCAATGGCTTTCCCTTTCTTCAACCCCCCCACCCTTCTCTACGGGGCTCACTAACGTCAGGCCTAGGCCTAACCAACAGACTGCCTTCAGGTCACCCCAAAACCTACCTTTATTCTTTAAATAAATATTAAAAAAAAACTCCATTCTCGACTTACAATTAAGCCTTTAAGGTTGAATCCGTTGGCTTCGAGACATCTTGAGGATGTATAACATTTGGCTAATCACAGGCCTATCATACTTTCATGAACCATTTCAGTAGGGACGTGGAATGTTAGGCCTATCTGGAGTTTTCTGGAACCATCCCGAATAGGTCTGAGGATGGAATGCCTCTAGAAGCCATGGTGCGCGACATCCTGATAATTCAGGGGTGTCTAGATAAGATATCTCCATATCCCACCATGTCGATCGATCGCTGCTAACCACTGCTTCATTCTCAGCTCAATTCATGAACTCAGCAAGAAAATGTCTCATACAATAAAAAAAAACAAAAGATCCAGACGCAGAATCCAGCATAATTTCGGCACGATATCCGGCAACACTGGGGACAGGTCGGAGCTATCGCTCGAACCCTAAATGAACTATATAATTTTTTATGACGAAATGGTGCATCGCAAGCAACAAAAAGGGCACTTTTCGTCATCTACAAGTCAATATCTCTCTCGTAATCCTCATCTACAATTTAGAAATTATGATGACCCTCATCTGGGACTCGTCGGTGAATCTCTTCCGTTGATCACTTTGCAGCTCGATGAGTTTCATTTCCGTTTTTTGCGGTACTTTCTCGGCATTCGCATTCGACGGAGTGCCGAATTTCTTCCTCGAACGCAGAGAAATCCCGGAATCCGGCACGAAGACCGCGGATGATCCCTGATGAACCCGGGGGAAAATGCCGACGTTTTCCACCGGGTATGCCCATTCCCCTCAGACGGGAAGAAACTGGTACCATTTTCCTTTCTTCAACTGCTGCTCCCAAAGCAAGATTTTGGAATGCGAGTCCTCGTTCCAGCAGAAGCGCCCTTGAAAAAGTTCGTCCGAGTCCTTCAGATGGCTTGTCACGTCCGAGGGAAATGCCGATTCCACCAGCCGTTCCGGTTCCGACCAATAAAAAATCCGAACGACTCTCAGGACGTGTCCATTATTATTCGGATCCGGAACAGGAAGATCTACGCCATATAGCATTGTACTCGGCAGGCATCACTGCGGCACTCGGCCGACGAAGATCCACGCATCGAGGAACTCGACAATGTCGGCAACGAACGGACTTCGGGGACGAGCGAAGTCAGTCGACGGCGAGAATCACGGCATTCACAACTTCTCTCCGTTCCGACTTTTTGCCAGCAATACTCGGTGAATTGAGAGGGCGACGAGAGAGTTGCCAACCACTCGATACTTGTCGCCGGTCTCATGCCGGAACGCCCTCTGTCGTGGATCCTGCCGGCTTTTCCCGCCGATCTTCCGGGGGTTCAGGGATTTCTTGCAGACAAATCTTGGTCCGCGGTCGCCCGATGCAAGCTGAGACCTGCGAGTCCCTCAGTTGCAACGAAGCCTTTATCCGTTTTCGTCTGTGA